ATATATACACACACACACATATATATACACACACACACATATATATATATATATATAGTTTAATTTGGTCATTTTAATAATCTGTATTCTTTTTAATTTACCTGAAACTTCAAAATAAATTCTCACCCTGTATTGAAACATGTTTCAGCATCTCACCACCACCAGCTGGTAAGGTGCGTGACACCAATTTGAACCCCGCCCACTGGAACGGTACTGAAAGCATAATGGAAACTTAACGTGTACCGTACCGAGTCGAATTGAACCGTGCTGTACCAGTACTAAGAGGTACTATGGAAAAGGGGCTTTAGAATCCCAGATGAGCTTTGCTCTCTCATGCATGAAAGATAATAAATCATACACATTTCCTTCGCTCTGCAGTCTCTAAAACACTTCTGATCTAATATTTTAAAACCTTACCTCCAAAAAGAGAAATAAAATCTACCTTGTTATCCTGTTGTCCTCTTCAGTTTAAAATGTTAGTTTAGTGTTTATTCTACTATTGTTTGGGTTTCGGCTATTGTGAGCACAATCAGGTGGTAAAATGTTTAAATTTTCTAATCAACATTAGATTTCAAGATACAGATGAATTTAGGGATGCATTCTTGACAAGTGCAGTCCGTTGCTTGTTTTGACATTTCACAGAGCAGTGGGTGACCCCTCACTAAACTGGATTATTAGTTTACAAATGAAATGCTGTTTTGGCAGAACAACCCATTAGTCTTTGCTCATCCAACTCTTCATGTGACCAAGGTTCAGGCCCGAGTACGTGCTCTAAATTTTTTCTGTGACTGTTCACTGCATATTTGTTCATTCCAGGCTGATTCTGGTCCACGCTGCTGCTCAACCCTGACCTGCTTCTTGGACAGACAGCAGATCTTCACCTTTCACCCCTCTGTCTTTACCTGATAATCTGTCTCTGTTAGTGAACACACTCTCCCAACTTACACACACCCTCTTTTTTTTTTTTTAACTTTTCCATCTGTCATGTCACACACATTTCTTCGGAAACCATAGGTATTGCATCACCGAGGGTGTAACCCCTGACTGCACACATTTCAGAACAGTTTGTTTTAAACTAAACAGATTATGTTTTGAGCCCGTCTGGTTCAGTTATTTTCTTGCAGTGTTGAGCTTTTCCTTCTTAAACCAGCCACTAGGGAGCACAAGCCAGTGTATTTCATGTGCTGGTCCCAAGTCCGGGTAAATGGTGAGAGTTGTGTCAGGCAGGGCATCTGACAGTAAACACTTCTGCCAAAACTAATATGTGAGTTCATCTAAGCGCCACCATACTGGCTTGGTTGAGGTCCGGGCTAACAACGACCACCACTCTGTTGACAAACAGGGCTCAGTTTGCAAACCCATCGATGCCGGAATGCATATAGTGGGTGGACCGGCTGGGGCGGAGTGGGGGGGGTGGGGTCCTGAGGAATGTGCACGCTTACAAGACAAGAACCTGACAAGTTGTTTAATGACATAAAATATTCAATTCAGTTTATTTATAAAGCGCCATATCGCAACAAAGTTGTCTCAGGGCACTTTACAGAATCATTCACATATATAAAAAGCCAATTATGGTAGTAAAGTTCTCTATCTAAGCTAGAGCTGTCATTTCTAACCTGGGGGCAGGTATCACTCTTGCTTTGAGTTTACTCTTTGTTACATATTATAATATTATAATAATATTAACAAGGTCCAAAGTAAATATAGTAAACAACAACATGGTAGAATATAACGGTGCAAGTAGGATGAATTTGTATGAATAAGTATTTCACTTGGGTGGCTGTGCCAGAGTGGTTAGAGCAGTCGTCCTCCAATACGAGAGTTGGGGGTTCGATTCCACCAGCAGTCACATGCCGAAGTGTCCCTGGGCAAGACACTGAACCCGTAAATGCCTCCGATGTGTGTCCCATCGGTTTATGAATGTGATAAAGCACTGATTATTCTTTGTATAGATCTAGTAGAGTGCTGTATGAATGAAGGCCCAGATTTTGTTGTAAAGAGCTTTGAGTATCTTGATCAGATAGAAAAGCGCTCTAGAAGTGTAGTCCATTTACAGATAGTAATATAAGCTATAATGCACATAACTAAACTACAGAAACTGTTGTGTGACAGTAACATTGAGAATAATTATGATGGTATGATATTGACATACATGATACAGCCACATAGTGCAGAAGCAATAAACGTATTAGGTGTCACAGATGTGGCTTGGTGCAATGTTATTATCAGGAGTTCTGTAATCTGACAGCTTGTGGATAATAACTGTCCTTTAGTCTTTTTGCATGTGATGGCAGACTCTTGTATCGTATGCCTGAGAGTATTAGATGGAAGTGTCCTTGTGCTGGGTGGGTGTGGTCCTTAATGATGCTGCGTGCTTTACGCAGATTTTGGCTGCGGTAGACGTCCCGGATGGTGTGGTGACTGCTACCAGTAATGTCCTCTGCTGTTGCACCACCCTCTGTAATGCTTATTCACAGGTGTTTCTCAAGGAAAAGTTATTTTCTGAAAAACAGAACAGAGAAAGTTTAAAACATAATTTTTCACATGATTTCACTATAATGATTGTGAACAATAATCAACATTATTCATGTTCACACCTGTCATGATCAAGTAAAACAACTTCATTAATGATTTTTTTTTCTTAAAAGCATATAAAAGGGTAAACATTCGTCGGACTGAGCTGACAGTCCAAGGACAGTGAATGTGTGAAAACATCAGATATTATTCAAGTCAAAAGTAACTTTAAAGAAAACAGCTGGTAGACAAACCAAGGGTCAAAGGTCATAGGGGAGCACATCTTCATGCTACACCAGCAGCAATGCAATCAAACTGTAATTAACTGTCCACATATAGGAGGAATATCTCCAGTTTTATTAAGTCGTAATTCAGTAGAATACTCTATACATAATCTCCATGCACAGAAATAATTCCACATGTAAAAAATATATATGCCTGAGGTTTTTTTTTTCCTCCTTTTCTTTAAAAAACGAAACTTTTGTATTAAGAAAAAACTTCTGACACCCCCAGATTCCTGCTCCTTTTGTTGCTTATTGTTTCAGTGTCTGTCGGAAAAGGTTGGATTTTCCCCTCTGGGTTTGGAGTGAGGTTTTGCCTCAAGTGGAAGAGTTCACATATCTTGGGGTTTTGTTCTCAAGTGAGGGAAGAATGGAGCGGGAGATGGACAGACAGATCAGTATGGCTTCTGCAGTATTCTGAACTCTGTGCCGGTCTGTTGTGGTGAAGAGGGAGCTGAGCTGTAAGGCAAATCTCTCTGTTTTCTGGCCGATCTTTGTTCCTCCCCTCACCTATGGTCATGAACTCTGGGTAGTGACCGAAAGAATGAGACCGTGGATACAGGTGGTTGAAATGAGTTTCCTCCACATGGTAGCTAGACTCTCCCTTAGAGAGAAGGTGAGAAGTTCAGTTATCTGGGAGAGACTCAGAGTAGAGCCGCTGCTCCTACACATTGAAAGATGCTGGTTGAGGTGGTTCAGATGATGTGGACATGATGATCCCCTGCAGACCCTCAGCATGTAAAATAGCAGCACACTGAGCACATATTAAGGGGGGTGGTCTGTTGTTAGCCTGGGGCACAGAAAATATGCTGTGTGGGATCATAGATGTGTTGATAAAAGGACAGCTTATAACATTTGTGCAAATGTGTGCATTTTTGACTTGACATATTTTCCTCTGTCTAGCTTGATTTGCAAAATGGAACAATTTCAAAAATAAAGACCTTGTTCGGAGAGTTCACAGCAATCATGGCCCCTTCAGACCAGACTTTGACTATTACAAGTATTGCTTTTAATTATGTTAATTAAACAGACTGTGTTTGCAGTAAAGCATAATGATGTAATGATAACTTACTTTTATAACTTAAAGTAGTGTCCCCTATTTAATGTCTGGTGCCACCAGTCCGATAGTAGCTGGGAAGAAACTGTTTTGGCTAGGGTGATTTAGAACTGGAAATGCTGGGCATTCTTCGTATATCTAATAGAAATTGTTTTTTGTGTTTGTGTTTCAGTTGGCACAGCTCCACCTATCAGATGAAGAGCCTTCAGTTCCGGAGCATTGCTCCTAAGGCCCCAGCTGTGGTGCCCACCCCTTCTCCTGCAGCCCTTTCCTGCCAGTCATTGTCTGTCCCATCTGAGGCTCCCACCGCCTCCAGCCCTAAGTCCATTCTTGTACCTGCCCAAAACTATGCATTAATGCAAATAGCAGGTCAAGATGGTACATTCTCCCTGGTGGCCCTTCCTCCTCCTGCGTCTTCTCAGACATCACAGCATCAAACTCAGTCAATTCAGAAGAACCTCAAATTACCCATTCCCCGGTATCAGTCAGTGAGGAGTAAAAAGACCTCAGAAAAAGTCCAATCTCATCCACTAGCTGCCAGTGTGAATACAACCTCTACTGTTTCTGTAATGACGCAGACTAAGCCTGTGGTGAGTGGAGCCTTAGTGCCAAAAGAGGAGCCTTCAGAAAATGTCATTCTTATCGACCCAACTTCCCCTGACATTTCTGTCACTGCACTGCTACCAGATAATGCTCTTCTTTATCCATGTTCTAAACTGGACAGAACTTCACATGGCTCTGAACCACCTGCCACAACTGGCCTCATTCAGAATCTTCAGTACCCCTCTGCAGCTCCTTCAAGCTCCACAGGAAAATCCCCTGATGAAAGTAAGACCACAGTACAACTCTGCCAGTCGAAGGCAGCTGCAGTTCAGCCCCAAAGCAGTATTACTGTTTTGTCTCCAGCCATCTTTAGTAAAGCAGTCCAAATTATCCCTTCACCGCCTAAAGGTAAACTGCCTATTCTGCCCTACTCTAAAATGAAGAGCACACTGATCCCAGCTACAAAGCTCAGCAATTTATCCCCGGGAAGAAAAGTCTTCAGTGGGCAGGCAAGACTTTCCAGCTCCTTCGATACTACATCCAAGAACATAGATAATGCTAATGTCCTTGATGAAAACCAGGTGTTAAACTCTGTTCAACAGCCACAGGCAAAGACTACAGTTGTTAGCCTCCAAAAACCGCCTGGCAAGAAGAGAGGAAGGAAGAGAAAGACAATGGAAGACATCTTGGCTTTTGAGGCCCGAAAGAAAAGATCTTTGTCTTTTTTCCGTAGGAGGGTCCCAGACAAACTGCCAGCAGTTATTCCAGGCTTCAAACAAAAGGAAGTTGATATTTCCAAGAAATATCGGAGCATTCGGCCCAAGCCAATGTTGGTTATGGAGACAGTTCCCCAGCTTGTTAGTTTGCCTTCCATTACACAAGATAGTCAAGAAAAAGAACTCATACTTGGCCATCAACTACCCATTGGTACTACAGCAAAAACTCTAGACTGCTGTCCTCCCCAACCAACCCCAGTAACTCTGCAACTGAGAGGTATCTCCCAACCTAAAATTTTTATAGGAAGCCGTCCCCTCCATCGCTGCTTTATTTGTAGCCGCGGTTTCCAATTTAAGCATCACCTCCAGAATCATGTTAACGCCCACACTAGTAGTCGACCTTACATTTGCCCTCTGTGCCGCAAGGAGTACGCACACAGAGGTAGCTTGAGCACCCACATGAAGCTTCATCACTCTGAGGTACGGCCACGTCGGTCTCTGTGTTGTGAGTTCTGCGAAAAAGCTTTTGGATATGTGGGAGTATACTTCCGTCATCTGAGAGAAGTCCACAAAGTGCTGCTGACTGTGGAACCATCAGTCAGTCGTCATGAGGACGACATGTCAGTGGAGGGGTGAGATTATTGATACAGATAGCTAATAAAATGGTTAATGCAATGTATTCGATTCTATGCAAAATTCTCCACAGTGTCTTGAGAAAATAGTCATACCTTTAAAATGTTTCCATAATTTGTCACATTACAAATGCGAACTTGTGCTAGATTTTAGTTAGCGGTATCAGAGGAAAAGGGACAAATGCTACGTTTCAGGTTTTTATTTGTAAAAAAAAAATTAAAACTAGGGATGCGCCGATCCACTTTTTATTTTACTTCCGATCCGATCCCGATGCCTAAATCTGGATATTGGCCGATACCGTTCCGATATCATCATTATTTTTTCATTCAACCTTTATTTATACAGGTTAATCCCATTGAGCCTCAGGGACTCATTTACAAGAGAGACCTGAATTTTTAACAAAGAGTGATGACAACAGTGGACAATCATAAAAGATGTGTACGATTTTTTTAACAAGTTAAAATAAAATGTCAACCATTATTGATTTTCCTGATGCATGCTCAATAATCCAGGTAGAAAAATCCAAAAAAGTTCAATCTGGTCCTCTGGACATTAAAAAAAAACAACAACAAAAAACAAAACAAAGCAAAAAAATCTAGAAACGTTTCGTCTCTCATCCAAGAGACTTCCTCAGTCTGAGGTGCTGTTTTCAGCTCAGTCTCTTAAATAGCACCTTCTCAGGGTGGTCTACACTCATCTCCAGGCCAGCGGTCACTCTTTCAAGGATGAAGATGTTCACATCCTGGACAGAGAGGAACGATGGTTTGAGAGAGGAGTAAAGGAGGCCATCTTTGTGAAAAGAAACCGTCCATCGTTAAACAGGGGTGGAGGCCTCCGGGTTCAACTGTCCCCCTCTTACAATGCTGTGATTGCTGGTATCACTCAGCCCTCTGTGAGTAGTAAACAGCCATCAGTGTGCTAATGACCCATTGTTAGGCTGATGGTCCTTCTTGAGCATGTGATCAGTTGGTTTTGGTTGTCAGCAACAAAACTGGTTGATCCACCCTGAGAAGGTGCTATTTAAGAGACTGAGCTGAAAACGGCACCTCAGACTGAGGAAGTCTCTCGGATGAGAGACGAAACGTTTCTAGATTTTTTTTCTTTTTTTTTTTTTTTTTTTTTTTTTTTTTTTTTTTTT